AGGAGTTGTTTATTTAAAGGGTGTAGTTTCACTGTCAGAAGATGAAGAAGATTTCTGGATGTTTGTTGCACAAAAATGTCAATATATTACCACTAAACTGCACCCTTAAATATGGTTAAGATTATAAATTTTATGTTACATGTATTTTAAGATACATTAAAATAAATAAATAAATAAATAAATAAATAAATAAATAATCAACCCAATCTATATAGCAGTACTTCCCATGCTAAATGAGAGCAGACTTTTCTTTGAAGGCTTTTCCAGTTTGCAATACTCTTTGGTGTGAACATCTTGGTGCCGAACAAGGTGGGAGTTCTGCCGAAAGCCTCTCCCACAATTGACACACTCATAAGGCCTTTCCCCAGTGTGAATTCTCCGATGTTTAATGAGGCTGGAGTTGTATCTAAAGGACTTCCCACATTCACTGCACTCGTAAGGCTTTTCTCCAGTGTGAACTCTCTGATGAATAATGAGTGTGGAACCATCCATAAAGAACTTCCCACACTGACCACATTCATATGTTTTTTCTCTGGTGTGAATGTTTTGGTGCCGAATGAGGTGGGAGTTTTGGCTAAAGAGTCTACCACATACGCTGCACTCATAAGGCCTCTCCCCAGTGTGGTTTCTCCGATGTCTAATGTGATTTGAGTTGTGCCTAAAGAGTTTCCCACACTCACTACACTCATAAGGCCTCTCTCCAGTGTGAGCTTTCTGATGTCTCTCAAGTGTGAAGCGGTACCTAAAGAATTTTCCACATTTGCTGCACTCAAAACGCCTTCCCCTGGTGTGAACTCTCTGATGAATAATAAGTGTGGAGATGTCCATAAGAAATTTCCCACACACGTTGCACTCGTATGGCCTTTCTCCAGTGTGAGCTCTCTGATGTCTTTTGAGGGTGAAGCTGTACCTGAAGAATTTCCCACATTCGCTGCATTTATATGGCTTTTCTCCAGTGTGAATTCTCTGATGAATGATGAGCGTGGAGCTGTCTTTAATACATTTCCCACNAATTTATTTTTAGACACTAGGACCTATCTGAAAATAACAGCAACTTACCACATGCCATTTCCTACCAGTATAGGTGACTCTGTGGTCAGTCACAGTATTTGGAAAGGGGGTATCTGAACCCTGACATAAAGGGTTCAGATGACATGATCTCCTATCCTTGCTGGGAGGTAAATAGAATTTCACCTGCAATGGCAGTGACTATGTATGGGGAGTTGAGATCATCGCAGAGAAATATTTGTGAAATGCTGAAATTGCTGAAATCAATGATTATTTAGTTATTCAAAGTTGGTGGCCAAAATAGCTCTTGGCCATGTGAACAAAGTCAGGATCTCAGTGAAATTTGAAGGGACACTTAAGTCTGAGAAGTGAGGGGAATAAAGCTGGTTACACAGAAAACTTGGCTAGCCCGAAGTAACGACTCTCTAAATTGTGATCTTTTATAGTACTAGCTTGAAGGGAGATGTAAAGAGAGCAAACAGCTTTGCCAGAAGAAAAGAGCAAGGCATCTGTAGTATCATATTTATTCCTCCGTAACAAATAGTAAATGCCTACTGCATTCTGAGCACTATTGTGGCTACATGGGCCACATCAGGACCCAGAGAGTCAAAGACCCGTGCCTTCATGGGGTTTTCAGTCCAGTCAAAGGAAATGGACAGTAAATATTAATGACAACAGTCAATTCTGTAATATTTCTGTTATAAGTAATTTTCAAAACAAGACAAAGTTTGGGGTGCTTTAAATGGGGCAATTAAAAATGTCTTTAAGGCTGGCTGAGTGGCTCAGTTGGTTAAGAGCTCACTCAAGAGTGTGAGCTCTGAGCAACAGGGTCACC